AATTATAGCAATACTACAAATAGTCATCAGTGGAATTATCCACAATGCAAACTCAGAAAGAGAAAACCCAACAGGCACTTTCCTGAAATGCCCTGAAAACAATTACTCTGAATTTCACACGCTGCATTTTTAACAAACTATTTCAAAATCCAGTGGACTGATCACAGACACAGTGTATTCCCATATCTGTTTCCTGCAAAACAGATACATAGAAATTTATCCTGGAAACAAAAAGCTCCYTGAAAGTGTTGAAGCAATTAATCCATACCACAAATTGAAATTTCAATTCATCCCATTACTGCACTTCAGTCTTGTGAAGAAACACTGCTTCTCAAATATGGTTCCTGTTTTAGATATCCATGATGTTCTAAAACAAAAATTATGTTAAAAAAGCAAGTAGGGATAAGCATATAGCATGTGTGTGCATTCAGGTGCTTTAACTACCTTGTTTGCATGCCATTAATACCAGATTTTGTTTGGCCATGAGGTGTTCACACATGTTCCAATACCACCACTTTTGCCATCTCCAGGCAAAAAAAAAGGTAGGAAAATCATATAGATATGAATATGGATATAGCCTATCCACAGAGATCACAAGTAGTTCTGTGTTGGTACACACAACCAAAAAGTGACTAGTGTGTGCAGTCATGTGTATACTTTCTTGATTTCCCCCATCCCCATCTCAGTCACAAGAAATATTTTGCTTCCTAATAGCTGCAGGATGACAGATAGAGAAAAATAACTATTTGAATTTCAGATTGCATACTAAAATGCATGAGCTACAAAGGGGAAAAAAATCCTTATATTAGAGAATATTAAGATCTAAAAACGAAAAAAGAAACCTGAATCAACAGAAAACAAGGGTGTTTTCTTTCACTTTCCAATGTTTCTCAGCAGCAGGGCCTGTCACCAAACTCATGTCTTCATCAGGATAAGTGTTTCCAAGTGGTAAAAAATAACCCTCTGCTGGTGTTTCAAAGAAAATGACTCCTTAGAAATTCCCATGAGGTGCACTATCTGCTAAGTTTAGGACGATAAACATTAAGGCAGTAGCAGAAGTTACCAGATCATGCCTTACTTAAAGWATTATTTTTAATTTTACTACTCTTTCTGCAGCTGTGTCACTAAAACTTTAAAATATTTTGCTAAGCTGGTGTTGCTATACAACTGCCTTACCCCCCCCAAGTCCATCCACTCTTTACACAYCCAACCTGTGCTCCAGGCTCCAGTGCAGCTGAGAGGATCTTCATTGTTTCTGCAGTTACTCAGCCTGGAAAATCATACATTGACACAAGAGAGAAGCCAGAAAATTACTGGAYGGTTGTCAGTTAAATGAAATAGTTAGCACCCATAAAACACCCATAGGGTACCATAGGTCTTTAAACTTCATGAATTCTCTGCTATATTATTACCAACACAATTACTCTGGGACATTTGTTGAGCAGTGCAGCACAGCAAGTATCGGCTACAAAATTGTCAGTTACACTCATACAGAAGTCACTGTCTGCTGCTATGAAGTTTCTACCTTTCATTGCTGAAGTCCATTCAGTTAGTGACAGGCAAAGGATGTGATGTGTCTCCACGGAACATAGGAGCAGAACCATGTCATACTGGCTCCATGGAACACAGGAGCAGAACCTCTCCCCAGCATGGAGAGCAGTCATGCCAATCCTCATCCTTCCCTCCCTGCCTTTGTGGATTAATCAGGAAGTGGCACCTTTTCCAAAAGCAAACTCCATTCAGCAAATTACAGCAGGAGCTCTCTGTTCCATCCATCAACATACCATTGTCTGATGACCAGCTTCCTCCCTCCCTCCCTCCATTTTCAATTTCCCTGCCCCTCACTGATTTCTGTCCATGAGGCATTTCATAAAATTTTGYGGCTGCAATAAGAGTGCCAGCTGTAGCAGAATCAGCCAGCCCTGGAGCTGAAAGTTTCTTTTAACAGGTTATAGTGCACAYTGGCTACTGTTTTATTCRCCCACCCATCCAYTCTCCATAACCTGGCTCTTAATCAYCGGGTMTTCCAGGCCCGTATTCAGGGAAGCGGAAACACAACAGCCTAAGCTGCTCTCCTAAGTTGACTTCAACGACTTCAGGCAGGTKTTTCAAGCCACGAGAAGCAGCAGCAAAAGCAGGTCGGCGTGTGGATATTCCTAACCAAACCAATACTCCACCTGAGCGTATTTAAAGGCAGAAGCTGTTCCGGACAGAGCGGAGGCTGCTGGCAGCGAAGGAGGACCCGTGCCGGCTCTGCGGCACCATCTAGTGCTAAGAGGGAACAACGCGCTTGGGAAAACAAATCCACGCTGGTTTACGCAGAGCTTAGAAACTATGCAAAATAAAGGCATGTACATACAAACGGAAGACAAGCAAGGTAACTGATGGCTACACATTTTCACAGTGCACATGCTGGGGCCCGCTTCTGTCACTCTAGGACTGGAATGTTTCTGTTGCGCAGCCTAAACTGGTGGCACAGCAGMGAAGATGCTGGCAGCGCGCACTGCGGAGTCCGGCCACGCTCCTTACCACTATTCCCACTGGGCTCAGCAGATGAATCACAACAGCCACATGTTCTCAAAACGTACGTGCAGCCCTGCAGCTGCCTCYCCGCTCCCGTTCCAGGCTGAAGGCTGCACTGGAAATCTTGGCAGAAGGGCAAGAGCAGTGGCTCTGAAACAAAGACCCTCCAGCCTTGCGGAAGGTGCCCGTCCTCTCTATAGGTACCGAGGCAGAGGAGGAGATGAGCCCAGCTCCTGGGGATGCTGGCCTCTACAGACCATTAACTCAGAGATTAATGTCCCTGCTCAGACTCAAACCACAGATCCCAAGTGGCTCCCTTCTGCTCTCTAAAGTTACATCCACTTCCTCCAATTTTATTACCACTACTAGTTGTAAAGGTTGGGGTCGCTTTTTTTTTCCATTTCCTGCATCCAAAAAAGCTCACTACTTATTATAAATCTAGATGACAAGGCTTCTTTTTTTTCCCCGAGAGCAGCTTAGTTCTTACAATTTTATACAGCTGCTGATTTGCAGCATTTAAGGAACAATTCTTGTTACACTGTACAACCACAGCRCCAGATTCTTCAGCCTTTAAATGTTCCAGCAAGTTTCACTTTAAAACGGTAGGRAAGGTGATTTTTCTACAATTATTAAGAATTACAGAATTCACGTCCATAAATTGTGTGAAATCTAGTTGTTTTTCAAACTCCCCATTGGATCCAACTGAATGACAAGCTTGCATTCTCATGTCAAARAACACTTTGAAAATCTATCCCAGTGACAAATTAAATATAATTAATATTAATTTTCAAGTGGTGGTCCTCAGCAGGACCTGATCAACAACAGAGAAACCTACCACACATGCATTAATTTCAAGTTTTATTTTCCATGTTGGTGAAACACACAGCCTCCTCTCAAGAGACAGAATCTGTAGAGCTGTTACAAACACATTTTGTACTCTATTACACCACAGATTTGGGAAAAGAACAAATAAAGCACAGGTTTCACACTGCACTTGATCATCTGAATATTAAGTTACAGATAATTTAGAAATATTCTGATTTTACATATACATTGCATTGGCCATTGCTCAGCCTTCATGCACCATCTATGTTTTTCTTACAATCAACACTGGTTTTGGAAATTTTCTTGCTGTAAATGTTATCTTTTCCATTTTAGATCACTTAAATGGTATTTACATAAGTGTGCAAATTGCTTTGGAAGATAGAAACAAACACTAACACATAATATACAGACAGTTTTTTCTATAGTTAAAYATTTAGTAAAAGGCAGTTAACATTCCTAACACACTGTCTAAAATAGGAGAATAAGTTATATAAAATAGACCATCTTATTTTCAGATGCTTCCATTTCTGCAGATTTGGTCTTTGCAGCAACATTGCAATTAAAGATTAAGATTCTACTACTAGGAATCAGAAATGTCAATTCAAYGGCAGCTTAACATGTTTAGTACCAGTCACCTTTGTCCCAGATTTTCCACACTTGGCACAGAAAAAAAAAATCAACTTGACAGAGGGGGAAGACAGTATTGCACTTTTTTTTTGGCAATATGGAAAGTATGTTTTAAAAATCTAATGCATAAATTTTAACTTTTCTTTTAAGGGCCTGTTAGTGTTACAAGCACAGTTTAAATAAATCTGCAAATTCTTCCACAGAAGCACACCAAGTTTCCAGTTTTCYTATGCACCTCATCATTTCAGATATCACACACACAAAAAGCAGACTCTTTGGGATCTTACAACAAAACTGATTTCAGAACCAGAAGTAGCAGGAACTGCCTGAAGAAAATTACTGAGTGCTCCCTGAGCTCCTACATGTACATTTCTTTCTATTTGTGATAAAGACTCCCCATAAGAAGTGTATGTTCAACTTGATTAACAAATCCAGAAAGCAGAAGTTGAGTAAACTGAAGTGAGTTGCTCCAAAAGYGAAAACAGGAGTTATAGGGAAGTTTTCAAAACCATCTTTCATRTATCACATGCAAGCATTCTTAAGAGAAAAGCAGCTTGCTTCCTAAAATTTCACAGAGCCAAAACATCATAAASAAAGGGAAATTACCTGCCAGATAGTGAAGAACTACAAGTGCATCTGAAATAGCTTTAAAACTCATGGTTATTATTAAACAAAGAGACAAAACTGGTTTTTGAACACCCATTAAATTGATTAATTTGACTTTCCATAGCAGCCCTGCCTGCAAATTATGCTGCAGTTTGTCAATGCTACTCCCATGTCAATGCTACTGAGTGCTATCCACACCAAGGAAAGTGGTGGTGTGAGGTTTAGACCTCTAAAAGTTGAACCTTCATCACAATTACGCCTGACACAATTTTGTCAGACACTTACTTGATATTTTTTATGACATTCAACTCCTTAATATGGCAGAAACACTACCAACACTTAACGCTGTGCTTWTGGTCTCTTGCTTACAGAGCTTTGGGCATCACACACAAAACCCTGCTTCCAAGGATTCCCTGGATTCCAAGTGATGTCACCCTACTGCAGACCTTGATTAGATCCTGCTGAAGAGACTAGCCACAGGCACAACTTCTAGGTTGACAACTGCAAAGCATAAAATGGTGAAACAAATCTAAGACATGAAAGAAGTTTTCAAAACACATGATGACTTGAAACCAAACAAAAATAGAGAGTATGCATTGAAATTTGGTTACCTTGGATTCTGAGCTAGTTTGAAAAATGGCGCTAATAGGAGATAACCTGTTCTATGCTTTGAAAATATTAAAGAATCAAACGTCTTCATAGAATAGCATCTTGATTAGCAAATAAACACCTAGGACACTCATGAACTCAAACATATCACTGAAACATTCCCCCTAAGGTTTTGTTRAACATTTACCCTTTCTATTCAGTGAATGTTATTTGCCAACTTCAGTTTCTTTTTTGGTTATGGCACGCTTCAAAAACACTGCTAAGAATGGTTGTTCACTCCGTCCTTTCCTAAGGTGCACATTACAAACACTATGGACACCTTTATTTCCAAAGATTTCAGGTCAATACATTTCTTATGAGGAAAGATAGGTGTGTATTTCTACGTCTGCAATATTAACTTCAATCTAGTCCACTTAGTGTTTTCCCCAGTCATATGGATACAGGTTGTAACGAACAGGGTATTAAAATAATATTCCCCAGTGGAGTAAAAACTTGTTGAAAACAAACGGAATGCTCCCCCTAGTGCTTACATGAGTAGAAATCCTGCTGGGCACAGTCTGCCTTAAATGATCTTAAACAGGAAACAAACAGCCAGATGAATGATCCTACATTTAACTCCCAAAACAACTGCAARCATCTTACTGGGACCAAAAGTGTCAACTGGTGAAATCCAGCATTTAAAATTTTGTGCCATTCTCCCTCCAGTGCTTCAGAGGTTTTGGGTTCTTTTAAACTGTACTTTTAGAAAAATTTTCTCAAATTAATCTCGTCAGCTGAAGACAGAGCCCTAAGRAAGCTCCTACCAGGCAAGAGATGAAGTCCAAAGATGTTTCAAGATGATGGGTACAATCATGCTTTTTCTCCTGTACTGCACCCAGAAGCTGCCATGTTAATATTAGGATTCCCATCTCACAATTGCAATGAAGCTCTGGTAAATCTGGTACCTTTGGATATGCTCAGCATCACAATCAGTCAGATATTTAATACAACCTAGTCTGCAGCTAGCATAGTCCACCAGAATATTCATCCTCTTCCTCRTCAGCATGAGAGCCCACTGCAGCTGGTCCTCTGGCTTTGTCTTGGGTAACGTTTGGAGATTTCTTCTTGATTCCACCTCCTGGCACCACCAAGGTAAGACCAAGCTTGGCATACTGACAATGACAAGGCAAGTTTAATTTCTTTACTATCATAGAATTGACTGATGCTCACAATAAACAAGCAGGCAACATTCAGTACAGAAAATACAGTGGTGATGCTCTCAGGGTGTATTCTTCCAGTTTGGAATAAACATAACATTGGTTCATTTTTCTCTCTCTCAACACTCKGAGAATGGGATACAAGATCTATATTGATGTTGCTTATTATCAAATAAATTGACCACATCCTATAGTTTCTCTGGTTCAAGCTTTATGTAAAAAATAAATCATTCCAGTATGCAGCTCTTAATACATTACCTAGTATTAGATCATCTAAAAAGTCTTAAAAGTGTTTTTCAGCAAGACTAATAGCTTAATCTTTACTATTCAACAAAGTAAAATTAGTCAATACTGTTACAAGTTTTGGCAGGGATAGAAGTTTCCCTTATTTCACACTTTTCCTATCTTTTACTTCCTATAATTTACAAATTGTACAACAATAAAAAGTGGTGGGGAAAGAGACATAACTACTTGGTCAAAATTCAAAATCATTCCTGAATGAATATCTTGCTAAGAATAAACAATAGAAAAAAGCAGCCAACAATGCCATCCCATAGGCATCATATTCTTTTCGTGTTTATGCACATTTATCTGCTATATGTTATTTCTGAGAAAAAGCAGAAGCAGCACTGTTCTGGCCCTTAGGGAAGCAAGCAGAAGAGGACTGAATTTTGGTCAATTCATTAAACAAACTCAGCAAATCTCTAACAAGCTGTTCTTTCACCAAATCCTTAACACCATCTGAAAGGCAGGCAACACCACCACTGGCAGGCAAAGTAAAAGAATACAGGAAGCTCACAGACAAAGAGCAGCATGACAGCAAGTTACAATGAACACACAGACTGTGCTCTTCTTATTTTCCTCTACTAGGAAAAAAAAACTCCTTAACCTGAAAAAAAAAAAAAAAAAAATCACACGATCCACCTACTTACATCATTATCCATGTATTTGAAGAGTGGAGAATTACAGACTTCAGAAACTTGATCCTGATCTTGCTGATCATACCCTTCTAAAAGTTGTTCTAGTGCTGCACAGTCTTCACTCCCATTAAATCCTGGTATACTGAAGGAAATTAAGAGTTCATTTAGAGCAAGCARTCTACTTGACACTCAGCTATTCTACACAGCAGCTTTAAATGCTGCTGATTTAACAGCAAAAGGGCGAGCGCCTTTCAAGAATCTGACAGACTACTTGTTCCACAAMAACTGCCTATAACCACATTCATTTCTCCAGGTACATGGTTCATATCCATAAAAATTAAACTTTTAGCAATATTAGTTTACATGCAGAGTAAGACCACAACCATAGCCAAGACACAATAGGAATATCAGTTTGCAAAGATTAGATTTTTGTTTCCTGACTACTCAATAGTCTTTCTCCACTGTATACACAGAAAAAAATCTGTCATGAGTTGCTAAACATAAAGCTGGAGATTTGGAAAATATAAGCAAGATGTTTAAAGACTGATCTTGAAAGATAAGTTTTAAAAATATAATTTAACTTATACATATGTTTATTTCACTGAAAACATAGTTTAAGTAAATCATATTGTTTCAAGATTTTGCTACTGAAGTTCCAATGAAAGCTGAAAAGAACTGCCAGGGTTAAACACTAATCCATACATCGTCACTAAAATTTTCTCCTGTGACATGGCAAGAACTTCTAATTTCCATCTCATTTCCTCTGTCACACATAACTAGTTCTTTATGACTTTTCATTTTAAGTTTCTTGAGAAGAATCACAGTAGCCATTACAGCTAAATCTGTAATGTGTGAAAAAGATTCCTGATAGCCATACACCAGGGAACATTATTATTGTACAGTAAGTCAACAGAAGGGCCGATTAAAAAGAACTTATGAAAGAACAGCAAAATATATTGACATTAGTGAAACATTCAGTGTAGAATTACAGAACACAAGGTAGACTTACCTGTAGCTTTCCCTCACACATCTTTCTGCAGCAACATAATCATTTCTATGAAGATGAACTAAGACTTGAGCAATAGTTTTCTAAACAAACAAACAAACAAAAAGTAAATCTAATGATTCTTTAGAAATTAATAGTAAGAGATGAGAAAAATAGTAGACAGTTAATATCTAGCATGAGAATGATTGTGGACTGTAATGACCTTTCTAAGAGACTGAAGTCTCTTAGAAAGTGAGTCAAAGTGAGTCAAAACAATCCAGTGAAAAAGTTGAAAGCCACTTCCCCAGGTGGTATGACATAGATTATCTCCTATAACATTTAAATGAACTGTTGTCCCAAATAAATKTTTGCAGTTTGTTATTTTTTATAACATTGATATTTTTTATGTGTTTTTTGGTTTTGACAGCTAGATAACAGATTCTTTTCTTAAAAATTATAAAAGCACAGTTAAAGTTTGCAGAAACACCACTACCACAAATTCTCATAATTTAGCAAGAAACTTATCCCTTAATCAAGAGGTACTCATCATCTGTCAGATGTCAGCTGTATTTAACTACAAAAATAAAAAAATTGAAATGTATAATCAGAAGTTAGCTCTTAGAATTTACCTTATAGCATGTGGGGTAGTTTTCAATTTCCTTATAAATACTTTTTTCCTTTTGAAGAGACAATGCAGCCTCATCTAATCTAAAAGCCAAAAAAAACCCAGGAGTATCAGTGTCATGAATACAGCACATTGAACCCAAAGCTAATTACAAAGTATTTAACTAACACAGTGGCAAATCTACTGGAATAAAAAGCAATGCAACTGAAAACCAGCAGATCTTACAGAGTAGGTAAATAAATATACAGACAGCAACTCTTTTTGTGTATGCGCTAAGAACATCTCCAGTACTCATTTAGAGAGTAATGGTTTTGTAACTTGGGTTTTGTAACATGTAGAAGATGAATATTTTGTTACATACCCTAACACATTTCTCTATGTCCTGAGGTTACTATAAGCTATCAGTAGGTCTGATATCCATAAACTAGCAATATAGTYTCTAAAGGACCTAAATGTTTCAGTGAAGCAAGTCTGAGATGAACTGATAGGCAAGTTTGGTGCAAGCAATTTGCAATTAAACTTTTCCCACTGAGACTCTAAGATACACTCTTCCTTAAGAAGTCCAGAATCAGACTGCTGCAAACAGATTTCTTTCCTCAGGTTAGTCCTAATTCCTCTGTTTTACATCCCACAGCTGTAAAAGACTTTCAAGTACCTTCTACATATTAGTGCTGGAAGAAAAACAAAAAAAATCCTGAAATAGTTTTAAGAATTAATGAAAACTGGTGTATGTGCTTTCTAGCTATTCAGCAAACATAAAGGAAACAAATGTCTTTCAGTTCACATTCCCATTCCAAAACACAAAGCAGGTGGTTCCTGGATGAACGTGCATATCCCGCAGAAACTGGATCTTAGTTTGAAGTGTATCTCAAATAAGAATCAATAGTACATAAACCAAACATCACCAAGACAAAAAAAAAAAACCCGCCATCAAAATCACATTTGAGGATTCAATTACATTAAAAGAACAAAAAGGGATAAAGCTATACCTGCGTCCTCTGACCAGAAGTCTTGATGCCTTCCCTAACATTTCTAATGCCTGCCGTAAACGCTCTTCATTCTAGAGAAGACCAAAAAGGATTCAACATTCTTATTTGATTTGTACATATCTAAGAACACTAGCCCTTAATCTAAGCATGTCACCTGTAACTTAGAACAACTGTTAGTTATTATATTAGCAGTTCATACACTCAGAGGAAACATGAAGTGTATTGGTCTCCCAAGTTCCAGAGTCAGCTCCTGTCTGGATCTACTCAGCAGAGTAACATCAGTGCAAACTTGCTTATCTGGAAACAYTGACAACTGACAATAGAGAACTACATCAAAGCTACTTGCAAAAGAGCAAATCATTGGCTCGTGAACAGAGAGAGCACAAAGAACAATCTTCTCTTCTGTGTCTTCAGGGATTTCAAATTATTTTGGGTTCCAGGACCTCAACAGCAGACATGTTCTCTACCCTCTGGGTGCCCAACAAGAGGCRGAAAACTCACAAACAAAATTCAGATTCTGTCAAGTACTAAACCGAAAAAAAAGCAAAGCAAACTGACTCCTGACTTTTGTAATTTTCTCTACAGTGCAAGAAAGCTTCAGCTACATGACTCAGCCACTGATGTAAAAGAAAGGAARCATAATTTAGAACCTAATCGTAAGCTTTTTCTTGACTCTACAGCTGAAAAAAAATAAAAACCAAAAACACCCACAAAAATTTCCCACTTACTTCGAATACCGATGCTGCTTGCTGATAGAGCTGCACAGCCTTCTCTGGACTCACGTTTTCTATTAACCTGTAATAAACAAAATACTTTTCAGATGAAAGGAAAATAATTTTTACCTGAAAGCATAAAAAAGAGATAAAAGAAAACCACAGAATACYCATGCCCTGCACAGATTCACCATTAACTCATACTCACTTTCCAGCCCGTTCCAGTGCAATGGCTGCTGTGTCTGGTGTCCCATTCTCCAGGTACATCATACTGGCTTTCTCAATAAGCTGAACTGCTTCAGGGATCCTCTGCATCTCCTAGAAAGCAATAGTGAAAGTTGATCACCAACTCCATAAAATTCACTTTTAACTACTAAATTTTCRTGCAAGTCATGAATTTGTARTAGTTTAGAGCAAAAGCAGCACTAYTCTTCTGTCACCCTCCAACATGAGACACTCTTCTTTCCTTCTGCAAAAGGAAAACCATTTTCCCCCCTAAATATAAATGCTGCTTTCCTAATCTACTAAAGGTATAGGTGGGGAACTACAAGTCAAYGAACGAATTTAATCTGAATATGCAATTCGATTATATATATTTGTAAAATGGTCCAGTGCACAATATTCRTCTCTATAAAACAGAACTTTAAAATAAAAACTAGTAAATGAGAATACCTTTAGCATCATGCCAGCTTGTTCATAAGCTCTACAGAGAAAAGAAAAGTACAGTTTGGTTAGAGATAGTGTATTACACTAAGCTGTAGTTATCCAGCAAAAGTTAACATGCACTGACTATCTAACATCTTCACTGTTAATAAWTAATGTTTTAAGGATGTTTCAAGTGTTTTATATAATGACACAGCATATGTATAACATTATCTTCCACAAATTCAACCATGCTCCCCAGTAAAAATATATTCTAACCTGATCCCTGGGCAACGTTTGGATTATTGTCATCAACTTCTTGCCTTGAAGTACTSTTTAATTAAAAATTTCTTTATAAGCTCAACAGTGCAGAATTTCAAAATTATGAAAAGTTCATCTAAGAAAAAATATTTGTTATCAAAAGGTGCTGAAGAATACCAAAATAATTTCTTCAGGTGGCCACTGCAGGTTTTCAGAYTTTCCTAGCTCACACTTCCATTGAACTAATTTTGAAGCAGCAAAATTACTTCAATCAGAACACTTACTACACTGAGATCAAAATGCCAGTTCATGCTTGTACTGTATGTTAAAAAATCTGTTTCAGATTACTTAGCACTTCTGTACTTACTTGGCAGCATGAAAAAGACTGGACATGAAATTATCAAAGTCAAGGACAAAAGCCACAAAAATATAATGCAGGTAAAGTATTAACACACAAAATCTTACACAACTACTAGTTTCAAAGCAAGGAGCCCCATAAAGWCAAATCTAACCTACTACATCTGCAGGGAAGTTATCAAAAATAAATGATTCTAAGGACTGAATAAATGAAACATAGCAATGCAAAGTTGTAAAAAGCACATTTATCTAAAATATGTTTCTGCATATTAAATAGTACTATTAGTACTGTAATAGTACTGTAATAGGCAGAGGATAACTTAGTTTATAGTATTTGCAGGTAATGAAAAAAAATTAAATTTCTGAAGCAGTATGCTTAGATATGTCAGGCACCTGTCAGCTGTTATTGGGAACAACGCTGATTTTCTAACCAAGAGTTCTTTAGTTTTCCCACTCAGAGCACTCAGGAACACTCCTTTAAAAGCAATTATGCTACAATGACAAAATGTGCAAATACATTAAATAACCTGCTACCAATCCCCATTACTCCAATCTAAGTAGCAGCTAGTCAGCTTCTTGGAGAGAAAGAATTTCAATCAATGAAAAGATACGCTTTATTGTTTTCATGTGCCTCAGCTTCYCGTAAACAGGCCTCCCTTGCCTGGTCAAACTGCTTGGCATTCTTAAAAGCAACAGCTGCAAGAGAGCAAATGAAGAGATTTTATTTACAACTTGACATGGTCTTCTTTTTGCCAGGGCTGCTCAACAGTTCAGCTACCTAACTATGCAAACAGGCTCTTTAAATGAAAGGTTACAGTTTACCAAGGTCTTCTCAAAAATCCCAGATGTTTTCCTTGTTTCATTAGTTACTTAGTTGCCATTAAAGACATTTATTGTCAACATCACTTCCACATCACCACAGTATCATATGTAGCACAGAATATGTTTAAATGGACTTGGAAACTCACTTAATATATTCTGTATTCTAATTACAGAACTGCAGGAATGCATATTTATATCATTTTATCATTAGAGGTTATAGAAAATCAGTACAGCCAAAACAGAAGTGTGCCACCAACAAAGTATACCTCTAACAACTTCYTCAGCAAGCACAACCACTGCAGGGCACAAATTTGTATTTCTAGCTCATTTACAATAAAATACTGAAGTAGGACTTAAAKTAAATTTCAATTTTCTTTCAAATTTCACTGTTCCTCCAATTTTATATTTTTTACTTCATTCTTAAATAAATAAGTAGAAGTGCCTAGAGTAAGAAGCCAAAGGACCGTAACGAATTACTACTATGAAAAAGAAGAAAATGCTTAAGAACAAAAAGAAATCAAYTACTAAGGATTTTATACACAGTGTGTCACTTACAGTAGAAAAAGAGAGGAAAGAGACCTTACTATGCCTGAAAAAAAAACCCAGTCTGGCAAACATCTCACCTTACTGAGACAGTCTTTGACAGGACATATTTCATAAGATGATGATAAAGCAAAATTTTAAAACCAGCTTGAACATCTGTTGTTTTGTAGATAAAGTCATAGGATTTGGGGGTGGACAAGTGAAAGAAGGAAAGAAAGCTTTATTTTTGTCACATATAGCAATATAAAAAATAGAAGTTGTAAGCTTGAAAAAAAAWTTGGTTTGAACACTGTTCTAGATTTCCAAGTACAACCTGAAATTTATTTTACAGTATTACCAATAGGATTTTCTTATTGTTTCATCTTACATTTAGTCTTCACTACAGTTTAATTACACAGCAACCTAATAAAAATATGTAAAACATTATCAGGAACTAAYATTAATGAATACTTTGAAACCATTAAATATATATGGCCATATTTACAGACACACATACCTGCCTTCCCATATTCAGTAGCTGCACTGTCATAATCTGGTTTCCACTTTAAGAAYCCAGTTTTCAGGCTAAAACACAAGAAACAATTAATAAAAATTTTATGKTTTACATTCAAGGCATTTTAGGTATATTTCAAACTTCAGAAAGCCCCTAGAAATGAGTGATTACCTATATGCCAATAGTACAGTGGCATCACTACTGTAAAAACAAATGCCAGCACTGTTAAGAATTGCATAAAGCACTGCAATTATCTCCCATAGTTACATGCCCTAACATGCTTCCACTATTCTCAAGTCCATCTTCTCAAGAATAAGAAGTCAGCAGCAGAAAAATACTTCCTCCTACACCAACATGATATCACCAGAYTTCTATTATCATGACACCTGACAATACATTTTTTTTCACACATCAGGAAGTTTCCAGCATTCCTCTACAGGAWTTTTTTTTGCTGCTGAGAATTAGCAAAAACTCTCCACTGCATACACAGATAAAAGAATTTATTTACCAACACAAAACCTCGTATGCCATTTATGTCTACAATAGATCATGACCCTAAAAGGKGCCATACGTAGGCATAGATACATAGGGGAAAATGTACCCTGGAAAATTAGGTGAGTCATTAGGCAGTTTGGAATTCAATGTGCTGACTTCCTCACTTCTAAAAGAAATTTTAAAATTACCATAACTTTAGAGTCCACTTGTATATTTGTAACAGGCCAACACATCATATGCAATACATTCTTTACTTGGAAAACATTAGTGTATGGACAAGTTGGTTTTCTTGTCTCACTTGGATGAAGACCACAGTTACTCTAAGACAAACCTTTATATTATGTTATTTTTTATCACAGTCAGAGTCTCAAATGCATCAAGCTGAAATACTTGCACTCAATGCACTTGCAATATAATGCACTCAATCCACACACAATTTTATGTTTCAGGGCCTTTTATTTCAAATGCTCTCCAGAGAAGCTTAAAATTTATTCTGCTGGAGGGCACTTYCAGTCAAGTAATTTGAGTAAGACACCCTGTTTTTTTCTATTTGCAAGTCTTCCCTCTATARCAATTTATACTTTTGATCCATGATTTCCAGAGGGTCTATCACCGTTCTTACTAAAACTACGGCAACCTTGGATTAGTCAGCTGTACTATCTCTATACTGTAGCCTGTGCCATTGAGACTTACTAGCAAAATGGCTATGTTCAGTGTTAAAATACACAGTAACAGACTATCAAAGATGTTAAACTCTCCAACATAAAYGTCAATATAGGTCTTTGAAGCCATCTAGGAAGCAACAATCACACATTTCTCGTGGATAGGAAGCAAACACAGCACCTCRGCAAAGTCAAGCTCTTTTATCCAACACAATCTCCATAACTCTTTTCTACCACTTGTCTATAGCCTTCAGATGCACCAGGGAAGGTTTAGGATCGACATTAGGAAGAAATTCCTCACRGAARGGGTGATTAGATATTGGAATGGGCTGCTCAGGGAGGTGGTGGAGCCGTCATCCCTGGAGGTGTTTAATAAAAGACAGGATGTGGCACTGAGTGCCCTGGTSTAGTTGACAGGGTARTGTTGGGTCACAGGTTGGACTCCATGATGTCAGAGGTCTTTTTCAATCTAATTGATTCTGTGACTTGTCTTCCTCCCACTAACTTTAGGAAAGGGACAGAAGTGGCTGCCCTCGCTCTGCAGTCAGGGTCGGAGCAACAGAGGCCACAAGGCCCTAAAGGAAACTGCTCAGGCTSCAGGCCTCTGAGCCGCACCGTTCAGCTTCACCGACCCCACTGTTTGGCTTTAGGGCCGGTTTACTCTCCCGGACCGGGGCAGCAGGCCCTCTAGAGTACCCAGGCCCTGTAGGGGGGGTCCCCTCAGGCAGAGGAGGGGCTGAGCAGCCAAGTCCCCCTATTCCCTCCGCGCCAGCCCATCCCGGCCCCGCCGCCTCTCTGCCCTTCTCCTGATGTCCCCATGCCTGGCACACGAGATGTCTCCTGAGCCCCTGGGCCAAACCAGGAGGGGACACGACGCCTCCACGGGCCAGGAGGGCCGGGCGGGCCGGACAGCGCGGACGCCGAGCTGGCAGCCGCTCGCCAGCTCYCCCCAGCCCGCACCCTCCGCCCCGCTGCCCTCCGCTCACTATTTCTCCGCTTTCGCGATGTGCTCCAGCGCCTCGTTAATCTTCTGCGCCGCCATCTCGCCAGCGCGGCGGGCCGGGCTCGGCCGCGCTCCTCCGCCTCCGTGCGCTGCCGCTACGGAACGGCGCAGGGATCACGGGCACCGGGAGCGGCGGGAGGAGCGGCCCGGGCCCCGCCTGCTGCCCGCGCCTGCGCCGGGGCTGAGTGCCCCGAGTGCCCAGAGCGGTGCGGGAGCCTCGGGCTGGAGCGGTCGGTGCGGCCGGGAGTGCTCGGCGCTGGGGTTTGCCGGGCTCCAGGGGCCGGCGCTGCCTGCAGTACGCAGCTCCAGCCCTGCCGTGTGCAAGGCCGACAGAGGGCTTTTAAAAAACAGGTACACCCAGAATGGTTATGGTTGGAAGGGACCTCTAGAGATCGTCTGCTCCAGCCGTCCTGCCAGGCAGGGTCACCCGGAGCAGGTGGCGCAGGAACGCGTGCGGACGGGTTTTAAATGTCTCCAGACAGGGAGACTCCATGACCTCCCTGGGCAGCCTGTTCCAGCGCTCTGCCACCGTGAATGTGATGAAGTTCCTCACGTTGAGGTGAAACTTACTGCATTTTACTTTGTGGCTATTGCTCCTTGTGCTGTCACTGGGAACCACTGAAAAGAGCCTGGCACCATCCTCCTCACACCCTCCTTAGAGATATCTATATATCTATATCTATATCTATATCTATATCTATATCTATATCTATCTATATCTATAGATGAGATCCCCTCTCAGTCTTCTTCAGGCTAAACAGGCCCAGCTCCCACAGTCTCTCCTCATAAGAGAGATACTCCAGAGCCCTAATAATATTCGTGACCCTCTGCTGGACTTTTTCCAGTAGCTCCTTGTCTTTCTTGTGCTGAGGAGCCCAAACTGGATGCAGCCCAGAACAGGAATGAGCAACATCTGTGTTTCCCAGTTTTTTTTTAATGGAGACCAGTTTTTTTTTTTAGCAGTGCAGAGTTCACAGGCTGAAGTCTGAGCAGCACTTCATGCCCTGCCTTCGGGACACTTCTAGAGGCAGTTTTGCTGAGGCCTAATCTGCCTCGGTGTAAACAAGAGGGTGTCTGCAGCTGGGCTGGCACAGAGATCTGATGCAGAAGGTGTGAGTGGTGGCTGAGCACACCAGGGTTGCTGACACAAGCCACACAATCATGCAAAATACCCAAATTACACACTCAGTAATTGAATCAAAAATGCTAAAGTCCCTATTATTGCTCATGTCCAGCTTCCTTGACTCTTTAATTTTATTAAAATGAAGTATCACCAAGTAACAGATCAGTCATTGAGCCCCAGAAGGTATTTATTCTCCGAACTTGAACATCATAATTTTATTCCAATGATCTGAATAAGTGAAGTATTTATCAACACATGAGAGAGAAAGCAAAGGAAGAAGAAGCTGGTTAAATTTGCAAAACTTCCAAGAGCCTAGAAGTCATTGAAATGATCCTTATGGGTCCCTTCCAACTCAATATCCTCTGATTCTGTGATTCTCTTTAAAGTCCATAGCATTTACAGGAATCAGAGGTTTACAAGTTCCTACATCAAACTGGGAAAASAAGCAATATTTACATGATTTGTTTTACTCTAGGTAATCATAAAACTCACAAGTCTGAATTGCTTTCCCTTCCTTTTCCTTTTCCCACATTCCCTTGTTGACTTGGACACTTAATTTTCCGACTTCGGTTCTTGCATTGCACTTGAGAGGTTATCATCTATTGCAGATGGTGGAAAATCCCCACTAAATCTTTATTATTATTCTGTGTCCTAGATCAAAGTAGGGRAAAAGGTTGTRGAGAGGTTTTCTGCTTTCAAAAGCAGATGAGTGGTCACAGGAGCACTGGGACAAAATCGCTAGTCTTGCATAATGCATGCACAAAAAAGGTTTTTGGCAAGCACTCAGTGGTAGCAGGTATAAAGCAGAGGAAGCTGTGATCGGAAAGATTCTTGTGTCATCACGTCTGTCTTTTCTTTCCCTTGCAATGTCAGCCAGGATAGATCTGGCCATATGAGCTTGGGCTATGAGCTTGCTGCAGCACCTTTCAGATAAACGTGTGTTAGCTGGGAAAATTAAATCCTAGACCGCAGCATTAAATGACAGAATAACCTCAGACTGTTGTTCTGGAGCTCTAAATTAATGACTTACAGTTTGTATGTTTGTTTTTGGTAGGGCTTCTGGCCTGCTCTGTTCCCTGGGTTGTAAATATCTGTTCACTTTCTAGTGAAACTGCACATGTGCACTGCCTGGTTACACTTTATACTGGAATGACCAGACGAAAGATTTTCAAGACTAGTATTAAACGAAATAGGATATTCTTGGGTAGCTTTTATTTTGTAGGCACGGAAGCTCTGGAGATTTTACATCTGGGAAGGATCATATCACAGCATCTGGTGCTTGGCTGTGGATTAGAATTTGGTGTTGAAAAATGACCAGGTACAATGTGAAAAAAAAATTTACTGGGATAGCAGTTGGAATGAAAAAGATGTGAACTCTGTAAATAGCTGTACCAGTAGAACTCATTGATCATTAGCCAATCCTCATCTGCTGAGCACTWCACTTTGCAGAGAGTTTCTGTCTCCTAGATAAGCATTTCTTCATGTGTACCATTGCAACCAAAGACAACAGGCTATGAGAAACAAGGTGCATGAGCTATTGCAACTTATTTGTCTCTAATAGGTTAAAAAACACCTGTGTGAGACGTCTCGGGGCTAGCCTCTGGCTAAAGGCTGGAGGCAGGCAGAGGTAGCACTTTCCACCATTATGGCTGGGTCCCCCCACAGCTTTGGCATCAGGACAGCCTGGGTGCCCTTCAGAGAGCTGTTGTAAGTTACAAAAAACTATCAGTACAACCATAGCTAAAATTTTTTTTTGTAATTAACTCTTAACTTTTCCTTTATATAAATATGTTGTCTTCTTTCAGAAAGTCAGGATTAACTGCAGCAAAATGTACTTTAAATCAACTGTCGAATCCTACCTGCTGCTCCACTGGATCTGGAAGGTGAATTTAAATTTTCCTAGATCTGGATTTCTCACCTCTGTCTGGTACCTTTTTATGGCAGCAAAACATGGAAAGTTCTGCCTTATACTTTRTTAATGTCTGAAATTGGAGTCGTAACTACAATACAGTTCACCACCATGCTAAGGAAATTATCTGGGAGAAAGGGAGAGTGATCTGTATTTTTTTTTCTGCCAAGCAGACTGCGCCATCACTGATGCTCTAACGTGCAACTGGGTCAGACAAATTTTGGGCCCATAATATACACTAAAATGTGCTCTGTGATCACTCCAGTCCARTGCCAGCACCTCAGTGCTCCAGTACCTTTCCTTTTCTTGTCTTCAGCATTAAATCCATATAACTCATTTGTCTTTCAGATACTACTGTCTAAATGGATATGGTAGAAAGCAAATAAATAACTCCGAGGGCAGGAAAATTAATAAAGAGTGTTTTTCTGTAGATTTGTGTCTCCCAACTGATTGTCTTTAATTAAATAGCAGAGCACTGCAGTGTGAGYGTGCCTTTTATTAGCTGTCAGAGAACAAAGAGAGAGGCATTATAAATATCCCAKCTGGGGGAAGGTGGTAATGTCTAATTTGCTTTCCAGATTCATTGGACATGAGAGAGGAGGARGGTATTCTGAGGATGATCCAATGTGAATCATTCATAATGCCTTCCACACTATTTATTGAACCTACATAATTTGCATGCTCCTATTGAAGATTAAGTAAGGTGGCCTGTCCACATAGGTTAAGGCAGGTTCATTTTGTTACTAAGTGGTGTGTCATGATTATCAAGACTCTTTCAGTCCTACCTAGTATTCCATCGTTCCAAGACGAATTCATTTCCCTCAGTCATGACAACCCTCAAATTGTAATTTGTTTAAATTCAAATTAATTTTATACAATAGTTCATGTGTGACTCACAAACAAATGTACAGTATTTACAGATGTGAATAAAGTTATTCTGGAGGAGAGTTGAGTCACCTGTTTTTGTTGGGTTTTTGAGAGACCAAGGTTGGATAAAGGCCTATAATCCATCATACCTCTTCCCACGTGCTCTGATGGGAATCTGACCAACTCWGTATTTTTGGCATTTGTCACCTCCCAGACTTGCTCCTTGATACTTCCTCACCCTCTCAGCCACTGTGAGGATAATTTGCTTTCATACCTGATTGTTTCATCCACCACCAGTGCCTGACCCACCCTTAACAAATGCTTGTAGAGCTTGTTTTGGTAGTCTCATAGAAGTTGTTACTAATTTTTTATATTCCAAAGGTGGCAATTCCACATGACAATTCCTGACATGGCAACCCCTTCCAATTAATAAAATCTTCCTTCTGCTGGTTACYGGGTCTTGGAAGGATGACTTTTGGAGCAAAAACTTCCCATTCTGAGACTAAGACTTCACTGCAAACCACTTCTGGAATCACCTTGACTCCTGGGTCCCAGTTTGTTCCTGTTTTTGGCTAGTATCTTCCTGGCTCTGTTCCCTCTGGCAATTTACCAAGCAATCACACCTGCACTAAGAGGAATATATGGTGGAGGCATGAATTGTTTCAGCCGATTTAAGTACCACATCATAAATGTGTAATCATAGCTTTACTTTAGCTTCTCTTTCTGTTGATGAAGTAWCTTGCTCAAGATAGAGCACATACGTAATTCAAAAATGTGTCACCTTTTCTGCTCCCTCTYTGCAACTCCAGAACCTCTGGAAAGCTCTTCCATTTTTTTTCATTCTYCCTTCTTTCTGGATTGTTTTCTACMGAAGGCTCTCACATCAGACTCTCCTGGTAGAACGCCAGCTATTYCTCCCTCAGAATCTACCCAGTGCCAATGGCTTTTGATGGAGCTTTCCTTGGTTTGCAGCAGTCTGTACACAAGATGCTCATCATGGAATGACATGTAGCATTACTTTCCAAATCAAGAGGCATTTATATCTGCATACGTGAACATGTATCCTTCAGTTTTTTAAAGAAATACTGATTGAAATAGATCTCAGAACAGAGTCAGGAAAACAWAACAGTTTTCATCAGCTTTGAAGGCATAATTAGATTATTCCACTTTTCTATGGGATTGCCAAATTTCATGACTGGTTCTTCCAGGTGCCAGCTTCTACTTTATACCCATGAATAGGGAGG